TGGGAGGTGGTGCTGCCAACAAAACTGCTGAGGGGTATGGAGCTGCAGGAGGCAGCAGGGGGAGAGGGGGAGGGAGAGGCCGAGGCCGTGGGAGAGGCTTTGGCAGAGGAAGAGGCCGAGGTGACTACAACGAGGGGCATGAGAGCTCTGGTGGCAGGGGGAGCACCCGAATGGAGGGTGCGTGCTGGTACTGCAAGAAGGCTGGACACCCGTGGTTCAAGTGTTTCAGCCGGCCTGAAGGATGGGCACCTCCAGGCCTGAAGCCGCCAAGTGGTGAACGTGCACGAGGTGGTGCTGTGCAAGGTTCAGGTGCACAAGGTGATGGTGCACAAGGTAAAGCCGACCCTGGGATGTTCCTCATGGTTGAGGATGTGCAAGGGAGTGGGGGTGATGTGGGTTCAGTTGGGAAGGTTGTGATGCACCCCCTCACTCATTGGGTGATCGATTCAGGTTGCACGAGTCACATGACTCCACGGGCAGATTTGCTTGATGAGGTGAAGCCCCCTGGGAAGATAAAGTTTGTGGCTGCCGCTTCAGGTGCCTTGCTCCCTGTAATTGGTGTTGGGAATGCCAAGGTTATGGGAGCTAATGGGGGGCTTGTGGGGCTGGGAAATGTGCTGTTGGTTGAAGGTTTATCCGCTAACCTCCTCTCTGTGCGCCGGCTGCAGAAAAGCAATGCCAAAGTCACGTTCGGCCCAACCAGCTGCCGTGCAAAGCTTGGGAAGTTGCTGCTGTGGAACTTGGAGGAGAAGAGCAGCTGCATCAAGGACCTGTGGCAGCTGCCCATCATCCCTTGGAATGGGAAACCACCAGCACCGGCAAAGGCAGCGGCAGCGGCTAAAGCAACTGCGGGGGGAGAGGAGATTGCACCAACTGGTGGGGCCCTGGATGCAGTCAAGAAGGTGCAGCAGTCACAGCAACCACATGGTGAGGTGCTTGCTGGTGTGGATGCAACAGCTGCATGGGCAAAGGCTTCATCTGGGAGTGGTGAGGCCAATTGGGAGACGTGGCACGAGAGGTTGTGTCACATCAACATTCCTATGCTGCAGAAGTTGGTGAAGGATGGGAGTTTGAAGGGGCTGGAGGTGAAGGGGGCAGCGAAGGAGATTGGGAGCTGCCCTACATGCCTTGAGACAAAGTTCACCAAGTTCCCTTTCAGCAGCAGCACGGGACCAGCCAAGGTTCCACTCGCGCTTGTGCACATGGATGTGGTGGGCCCCACAAGGGCTCTTTCTCTCTCGGGCAGCCGCTACTTCTTGACCATTGTGGACGACCACACACGTGCGGTGTGGGTCTACCCTCTCAAGACTAAAGGGGAGGTGGCAGCGGCTGTTCTTAAGAAGTGGATGCCGAGAGCACAAAGGGAGAGCGGACACAAGGTCAAGGTGATCCGCACCGACAATGGGGGAGAGTTTATTGGCGCTGATTTTGAGGCGGTGCTGAAGAAGAAGGGGATCCAGCATCAGCTCACGGTGCCATACAACCCTCAGCAGAACGGCGTGGCTGAGCGGTTCAACCGAACCCTGCAGGAAGGTGCTCGCACTCTCCTTGGGCGTGCAGGGCTGCCGGATCCGTTTTGGGTGACAGCACTGCGGCAGGTCACTGTTGTGAAGAACCGGGTGCTGGCGACAGTGGGGGACAAGCAATGGGTCCCGTACACCAAGTGGTATGGGAGTGCACCAGCAGTCAACTTGCTAAGAGCCTACGGCTGCATGGTGGTGTTTCATGTGCCTAAGGAGAAGAGGGGAAAACTGGAAGCTTCTGGGAGATGGGGTGTGCACTTGGGGCTTGCTAAGGATCACAAGGGCTGGCTGATTTGGGACTTGACCAGCCAGCAGCTGACTGTGTCGAGGGATGTGAAGTTCCTTGAGTCCTTGTACTACAATGAGTGGAAGCAGCAGCAGCAGCAGAAGCTTCCCACTACAACGCTGATCATTGAGGCTGATGAGGTGCAGCGGCCTTTGAGGCAAGTGTAGGTCACTGTCTCAGAGGAGGAGATTTCTGGGGTGACTGAGGATGGGGGAGAACCTGAGGTGGAGGAGCAGCAGCAGCAGCAGCAGCAGCAGCAGCCGCAGCAGCAGCAGCAAGATGCTCCACAAGGTGCCGTACGTCCGGCTGACCGTCCAAGGAGGGATGTGCGCCCTCCTAACCGGCTGACCTATCCGAGCTTTGGGAAGCCAAGTGTGGTAAGGGCTGGGAGTGTGGCTGAGCAGTGTGATGAGGAGGAGATAGCGCACTGTTACTGGGCAGCCGTCCCTGAGCCCAAGATACTTACCGAGGCCTTGAGTGGGCCCGATTCTGAGAAGTGGAAGCAGAGTGTGAAGGAGGAGTATGACTCTCTGCTGGAGAACGAGACGTGGGAGCTGTGTGAGCTGCCTCCAGGGAAGAAGGCCATTTCTTCCAAGCTGATTTTCAGGCACAAGTACGGACCTGATGGGGAGCAGACCCGCTACAAGTCAAGGCTTGTGGCTAAGGGGTTCCAACAGACAAAGGGGAAGGATTTTGATGATATCTTTGCTCCTGTGGGGAAAGGCACTACACTGAGGACGATGCTGGCAATGGCTGCAAACCGTGGCTGGAAGATCAAGCAGATGGACATAATCACTGCCTTCCTCAATGGAATCATTCTGGAGGAGCTGTACATGCTGCAGCCTGAGGGGTTGGATGATGGGAGCGGCAGGGTGTGCAGGCTCAAGAAGGCCATCTATGGCCTGAAGCAGGCTCCTCGCGCATGGTACCACAAGCTGGAGGAGACACTGCTGGCCGGGGGGTTCAAGAAGAGCGAGTGTGATAACAGCCTGTTCCTGCTGCAATAGAAGGAGCAGTTCCTCATGCTCCTGGTGTACGTGGACGACATCCTGCTCTTCTCTGAGTCGTCTGCGATGATTGAACGTGTGGAGGAGATGCTCGAAATGCAGTTCAAAAGCTCCAAGATGGGAGATGTGAAGTACTACCTTGGGATGCACGTGGAGAGGGACCTTGACAAGGGAGTGTTGAGGTTGCACCAGAGGAAGTATTGTGAGGGGCTGGCTGAGAAGTATGGGCTGCAAGATGCAGGAAAGCCAGCCACCCCGCTGCCTTCGGGGTTCACTGTGGAGCCCTGTGCTGATGAGGAGGTGGTGGGGGAGAGTGACAGGAAGTTGTTTCACTCCATGGTGGGGGCACTCAACTATGCGGCTAACCACACGCGGCCTGACATTGCCTTTGCTGCATCCATGCTTGCGAGTGTGGTTTCATGCCCAAGTCATGAGCAGCTGGAAGCGGCCAAGAGCTTGGTCCGCTATGTGAGCGCTACAGCATTAGTGGGCTTGGAGTACAGTGCTGTGCGACAGAGGCTACAGAGGGGTGCAGCTGATTTGAGCAAGGGGGAGATGCGCTTGACTTGCTACACCGACGCTAGCTTCAACTCAGTGAAGACGGATGGCACCAGCATTGGAGGCTATGTGTGCCTCTTTGGAGGTGGTGCAGTGAGCTGGCGCAGCAAGAAGCAGAACGAGGTGGGGTTGTCCTCGTGTGAGACAAAGTACATGGCCCTTCATCATGGGGCAAAGGAGGTGGTGTGGCTGAGGCGTTTGTTAGAGGAAATCGGAGTGTGTCAGAGGGAGCCGACTGTGATTTTCTGTAACAATGAGTCGGCGGTGAAGCTTGCGAAGAATGCCTGTCTTCATGGCTTGACAAAGCACATCAGGCCAAAGTGGCATTGGACAAGGAGGCTCCTGGACAAGGAGGTGCGGCTGGAGATTGTGAAGACCCAGCAGCAGGCGGCTGACATTCTCACCAAGCGCCTGGCAGAACCTGAGCATTGGAAGGGCATGAAGCTTGTGGGAATGAGTGTGCATTGAGGGTGCATGCTTGAGTTATGGCATGTGGGATGATGGTTGGCAGCCAGAGGGGGAGTTTGTTGTGTGATGCAACCATATGCATTCACGTCTGTCTGCCTCCCATCATGTGTTTGTGCGTTGCATGCGTGGTGTGAGCGTGTGCAAGAAATTTGTGTCTTGTGTGGTTTGGATTTTCTGTGTGTGTGTGTGTGTGTGTGTGTGTGTGTATGTTATTTGGCTTGAGCAGATATCTGAAGTGATTCCTCTACTCAAGAGCTTTCCGACGAACCATGAATCGTCGCGATCGGAGCACAACCAAGAAAGTTACGAACATTGGAGTTCGTATGCTTATATATTTTGGTTGCAGCTACTTTGGGAAGTTGTGGCATTGACTCAATATGGGGTACAGACTTGTGGGGGTTGGGAAATTCGAACCCATCACTGTAGATGCTGCCAAGAGGTTGGGTGAAGCCAAACCAGGTTGGTAAGTGTGGCCAAGTTGTGGTGAGGTGGATGGCATGGGTTGGAAAGTGACAAAGGTCAAAGTTTGTTGCCTATGGGGAAGGGAATTGTGTGGCATGGGGTTTCCTTGGTTGGGGACTCTCTCTTGGGACCTTCCCTCTCGTCCTCCTCTTCCCCTCCTACCAGGTTTAGTGCTACTCTAATGTTCTTTTGTGGGACTTGTGAGTTAATTGTGATTGAGTTAAATTTCTGTGGCAGCATACCCCCTAGTGCGCCGAAAAGCATAACTCAAGATATGCTTCATATTTTGATACAATTAAAATTGGGAAATGTAGCCACGGTCTAGGGCTACATCATATTCGAATTTCGTGGGATTCTAACTGTGCACCTTTCGTCGACAACGTTTCTTGTGAAGTCGACGTTTCTGTCCAGAAATTGAGACCAACGATTTTGAGAAATTTGGGCACCTAATCTTCATAGACTCCGTCCTTAGTCTCTAACAATGGGGCGGGGATGAGGCACATGGGGCGGGGATGAGGCACATGAGGCGGGGATGAGGCACATGAGGCGGGAATGAGGCACATAAGGCGGGGATGAGGCACATGGGGCGGGGATGAGGCACATGGGGCGGGGATGAGGCACATGGGGCGGGGATGAGGCACATAGGGCGGGGATGAGGCACATGAAGGGCACATGGGGCACACACATGTGTGGTGGTTAAGTGTTTGCAGCACGCACTTGCACAGGTAGGTGGCGATGTAGTTGATGACATAGCTGGTGACGGCATGCACGCTTCCACTCTTCTCCACGGTACCCCCCCCCCTCCCCCGCCCTCCTTGCCGCTGCTGCTGCCCTCTCCTCGGAACAACCGACTGCATGCCATAGCACAGCACCGCACAGCACAGCACAGCACAGCACAAAAGACTAGGTGCATAAGTTACAAGGCATAAGATGCAGCGCACATGGCACAATACACACATCATAAAGTTGCAGATGTAGTGCAACGCTCAAAGCACACACAGAGGTCAACCCCACCCCACCCCAATCTCCCCACTTATTCTTCCCTGCTGCTCTCACCACTTGCACTCAACCACCATCCCCCTATTTTGTAAACTCCCACACACTACCACGCCACTTGTTCTTGCATGGCAGCTCACTAGTTGCTCTCAATTCCGTCCCCTCTCCCCTTCGCTCCCTCCCAAGTACCACTTTTTCTGCAAGGCTGCTCTCCATGCACCTTAGCGTGGCCGTGAGCGCATCAAACGTTCCCAGTACTGCTTATCCCCCTCCCTCCCTCTCCTAAGCTCGATCCATCCCACGTTCCACTTGTTTCTGCGTGGCTGCTCCACAGGCACCTGCAGCATGGCGGTGAGTGCATCGAACGTGCCCAGCACCGCCTTCGCCTCGCCGCGTGTCAGCCCCCGCCACTCCGCCATCAGCCCTTCACTATCCGGCCAACACACTAGCCGCTCCACCTGCCAGAATTTGAGAAAGGGAGGGGGGCAAGAGGGGGTGGTGAGTAGGGATTGGGGGGAGTTGGGGCTGTTTAAGTGGATTAGACGTCTCACAGCCCCCGCCACTTCGCCAGCAACCCCTCACTGTTCGACCAGCACACCAGCCGCTCCACCTGGTGGGGAGTAGGGGAGAGAGGGAGTTGAGTTAACTAGAGTCCACAGGCTTCTGACCACGAAACCCCAACTTAGACCCAGAATCTCCAAACCTTAGCCCACACAACACAACGAGCCCACCTCGGGCATGAGCTCACCCACAGCGACCTCAGGCCACACAGCAGAAACATCCGCTCATGTGTGGCCTGGGCAACCGTGAGCGTGTTGGCGTTGTGCATCAGCGTTGACAGCATCCGCGGCATCCCCTCCGCCCATAAACCCTAACCCCAACCCCCAGACGCCCATCTCACCCTAGCATCAGCAGCCTAGCTGAGAAAAGAGCTCCGCTAACCCAAACACAAATGACACCCCCAACATCCCCCCCCACTGCCCACCTGGGGCATGATCTCGTCCACGGTAGCAGCCATGTCCAGCAGTAGAAAAGGCCGCTCAGGCTTTGAGGCACCTCACAACGCACCCCAACAACGCCAATCACCAACACCCCCCTCCCACCCCCAATTTTCCCACTGCCCACCTGGGGCATGAGCTCGTCCACTACAGCGGCCATGTCCAGCAGCAGAAACAACCTCTCAGGAGTGGCCTGTGCAGCCGTGAGCGTGTTGGCGTTGTGCATTAGTGTTAACAGCGTGCGCGGTATCCTTGCCCGGCGTAATATCTTCAAGGAGTCCGCCGCAGCCTCGTCGTCGAGCCTCAAGGTCCGGGTGACCCTGGACCTCCCGAACTTTCTGCCTGTGGTTCGGATGCTGGAGGATTGGTGGCTGGGGAGGCGAGGGTTGGAGAAGGCTATGCTGGTGGTTGTGAAGGAGGAGGAGGCGGAAGAAGGGGTTTGCTGGAGTGTGGCAGAGGCGGGCTCGCTCTCAGCATGCACAAGCTCCCCTCATCCCAAGGAGACCCGCAGCACAAACACCCCTCACACGCAGCACACGTGTCCTCGCCACCAGGCGGCGGCAGTCATGGAGCCAGTCCGTCATGGTGTGGAGTGTGGCAGAGGCGGGCTCGCTCTCAGCATGCACAAGCTCCCCTCATCCCAAGGAGTCCCGCAGCACAAACACCCCTCATACGCAGCACACGTGTCCTCGCCACCAGGCGGCGGCAGTCATGGAGCCAGTCCGTCATGGTGTGCTACAGTTGCCCTCACCTCCAACGCCTTTATCATCTCCCGCACACGGTCCTCCCGCACCGACCTGATACCATGGGGGGGGAGTCACGCAAAATTTAACGGGTTGAGGGGGGGATCGAGCAAGAGATAGAGGGGTGAGGAGAAGAAGGGGATAGGCGATGGCGGGTGAGAGAGGGTGAGTAGCTCAAGCCATCATTGCTTCACATGGTAGAGCGTCACGTTTTGAGTCGAATCACAATACAGCAGAGCATCACTGTCACATTGCAACCCCACACCACACTAGACCTGGTGGCAAGTTCATGTGGCTCCCATCTCTGTCCTTTCTAATCGTCCTTACACCACTCACCCGCTATGTGCTTTCCAGAGCACACGCACGTCTGAGCCGGGCCAGGCATGGTAACACGCCCAAACGCATTCCACGAACCTCTCACACCTGCAAGCTGCTGTCACAATAGCGTCTTAGCTGAGGAACGGGTTTAACTTATGGCCTAGGCTTAGTAGCCTAGGCCAAGCGGGTGTCGAGTTGGCCCATCAGCACCCCCCACTCAACGACACACGCGGGAGTGAGCGAGAGGAGGAGGAGGCGGCTGTAGCTGCTGGCGGGGTCTCTGCTGGCGGTATAGCTGCTGGCGGGGTCTCTGCTGGCGGAGTAGCTGCTGGCGGGGTCTCTTCTGGCGGTGTCGCTGGCGTTGTAGCTGCTGGCTATCCTGCCATGCCCTTCCCCCGCTTCCCTCTCCTCCACAGCGTTCGGCCGCCACTCCCTGCCCTTCTTCCCTCACCCACCCCCTCCCCCCCCACAGCGACCCCCGCTCCACACGCAAACACCACGACGGGGGGTGAGGAGGGGGGGGGAACAAGCAGGGGCGGGGGTAATGCGACGAGCAGAGCGACGGCGGGATAAGGAGCGGATGGGGCGACGGGAAGCAGGGCAACGGGCGACGGTGCAGGTGATGTCGGCGGGTCCATTTGCGGGCTCGCTGGCGAGCCCATTGGCGGGTTCGACGGTGGGGTCGCAGGCGCGTGGGTGAACGCGCTGGTCATTTCGCTCGCGGGCTCGCGAGTTCGTTGGTGTGCTCGCTGCCGGGTCTGTCGGTGGATTCGTCGGCGGGTCCGTCAGCGGATTCGTCAGCGCATCCGTCGGCGAGTCTGGCAGCTCAGCGTAGGGAGAAGGAGCAGGCAGTGGGGAGCCAGGTGGCAACTGTGACTGAGACGGGCCAGACGGTGGACACAGGAGAGGTGGAGTGAGTCCAGTGGAAGTCGGGAGACTAAGAACCTGGCAAAGGGCCGAGTCAGGCGGTGGCAGGGACGACTGCTGCAGCGGGTAGAAAAACGGTCGGCGCGGCGCAATACTCATAACGTCAGCAGCTCCAGCACATCCAGTACCTCTAGCTCCAGCACCTCCAGTAGCACCTTCAGCACCTCCAGCACCAGCAGTACCACCAGCTCCGGCAGCTCCAGCACCTCTAGTACGAGCACCTCCAGGACCAGCGGCTCCAGCACCTCCAGTACCTCCAGCTCCAGCGCCTCCAGCACCAGCAGCACCACCAGCTCCGGCAGCTCCAACAACTCTAGTACGAGCACCTCCAGGACCAGCAGCTTCAGCACCTCCAGTACCTCCAGCTCCAGCGCCTCCAGCACCAGCAGCACCTCCAGCACCAGCAACACCACCAGCTCTGGCAGCTCCAGCACCTCTAGTAAGAGCACCTCCATTACCAGCAGTTCCAGCACCTCCAGTACCTCCAGTAGCTCCAGCTCTAGCGCCTCCAGCACCAGCAGCACCTCCAGCACCTCCAGCACCTCTTGCGCCAGCAGCACCACCAGCTCTGGCAGCTCCAGCACCTCCAGTACGAGCATCTCCAAAACCAGAAGCTCCAACACCTCCAGGACCTCTAGTACTCCCAGCTCCAGCGCCTCCGGCACCAGTAGTTCCTCCAGCACCTCCAGCACCAGTAGCTCCAGTTACTCCAGCACCACCAGCTCCAGCGCCTCCAGCACCAGCAGAACCTTCACTAGCTCCTCCAGCACCAGCAGCACCTCCAGCACCTCCAGCACTAGCAGCTCGAGCACCTGCAGACCTCCAGCAGTACCTCCAGCACCAGCAGCTCCTGCGTCTAGGAAACTCCAAGCTCCGGCACCAGAGTGGCCTCGCTGAACGACTCACTCACGAAGCTGCTGCGGTGAGGGCATCTCAAGTCGACTAGGCGGCTGCTGCTGTCCAACGCCAGGACCTGCAGTAGGAGCACCCACGGCCCCACCACCACTAGGACTCGCAGCACCCCCAACGTCAACACCCCTAGAGTCAGCACCCCCAGAACCCTCACCCCCAGTCTCAGCACCCCCAAGACTAGCACACCCAATCTCATCACCCCCAGTCACAGCACCCCCAGTCTCAGCACCCTAGAACCCTCACCCCTAGTCTCACCACCCCCTGCAGCACCAGTGTCTACAGCTACAGGCTGCAGAGGCGGCGAAGATGGTCAAGGCGGAAATCCAGGTGGGATCTCCAAGCGTGGAGAGCGGCGAGTGGCCGCCGTGTCGACAGCGGCGGGGTCAACCCCCTCAGCGGGGCCAGAGGAGTCAGAAGAGATCTCCAAAGGCTCAACTAAAGGGGGTGGCTCTACCTGAGACACACCTGAGGGAGCAGGACCCTGTGGGGGAGGGGGTCTACCGGGAGGGAACTGGTACCAGGAAGAGAGGCGCCAAGGGGACGGGTAGGACGCGTGCGGGTGGAGCCTGTAGAAACAGACAGACTCGTCATAGGTGACGTCATGGGAGGACAGGACTTGACGCGAGCAAAGGTAATAAAATTGCCACGGTGGGGCGTCAGTGAGGAAGCCCATGAAGGTGCACCGGAGAGTGCGACGAGAGAGCTTGCTCGCGGTGGTATCGCAAACAAGGAAGAGCGCGCCCCAGACCCGAAACGTCGATGCATCGCCAAACTTTCCTGTCCAACCAAGTGTGGGCGAGGTCTCTGGCAAAGAGACACAGGGCCAGAGGTTGAGCTGATGCACGGCATATCGGACCGCAAACGGCCACAGAAGATGGGGAGCAGCCGTATGGATCATGGAGGTATGAGAAACCTCCATGATCAAGCCAATGCGACGCTCAGCAATCCCATTCTGCTGCAGAGAGTCCGGAAGCGTGAACGTCTGGACGATGCCCTTGTCTCAACAGAACTCTGCAAGGAGGCCGGAAGAGAACTCATTGCCCCTGTCAGAGTGCAGACGCAGGACCGAAAGGTCCCGCCGAAACTGCTCGCACAGCTGGCGAAGAGTAGCGCAAATCAAGGGGATCAAAACGCAGCGGACGTCCGCCTTGCCGCGGAAGGGGAAGACCGTTGTGTAGCTTGTTGTCAGTAGATCTGCACTGTGGATGCCCGATTGATCATGGAGAGGGTTACAGGCGCGTTCGCCTGGGGGGTTATGGGCGCACTGACCCGCTACTTAACAAGCCCTTTTATCCCAATGGTCTAGTGGTTGGGATTCTGACACTCGTGTAGTCGTCAGCGACTAGCAGGAAGTAGTGGTTCTGGTCCGTCCCACAGACGGAGGCCGGGCCCCACACGTCCACGTGGAGAGGAGTAGTGGTAGGAGGAAACGAGGAGGAGTGAGGAGTGGCGCGCTGCCGCCCCTCGACGCAGGGAAGGCACGGCGGGGCAGGCAAGCGCGGGAGGGGGGGCAGGGACCTGGGAAGGCCAGAGACAAGGAGACGGGAGTGCATGCTGCGGAGATGCGGCAGAGAGGCGGTGGTGCCAAATAAGAGTCTAGTGTGAGAGTACCCGACACGAGCACAACGCAGCGAACTGACCAGACGTAGACACCTGACTCAACGCAGCCACCTGACCTGACGCAGCCACCTGTGTAGACGCAGTAGCCAGGGTGTACAGACTAGACCCAGGCTGTCGAGTGGACGTAGCAAGGTGACGTCCAGTACGGGAGCGCGTACAGATCGCCACACGGTGCCCTCCAGGGATAAAGGTATCAACTCAAACATCTTAAAGGACTGCGTTGCTCATCAAGTTCGTCGAGAACAAGGGGAGGTGGAGGCCTGAAAGAGAGCCGGAGGGGACTGCTGGACACGGGAGGACAGTGGAGGCTCGTGCAACAACGGGGCCCCCAGAGGAGTCAGCCAGTGAGACTGGGACCGGTACAGCTAGTGGTGTGACTGTGGTGCAATCACGAAAGATCCAACGAGATGCGCCAGAGTCAAGTGTGAAAGTGTTCACGGCCTCAGCTGAGGCAGCAGACTCATTAGTGGCAGACTCACTAGCACCTGTGGCAGCAGTCTCACTGGCACCTAGAGCGGCAGCAGACTCACTAGCACCTAGAGCAGCAGCACCGACACTACCAGAGACGCGTCGCTGAGAAAACCACTCCCGATGATGCTGTGGCTACAGAATCTCCGGGGTATGAGACTTCCGCTGCTGTCGAGTACCTCCAGTAACATATCCTCCACCACCAAGACAGCCTCGCTGAATAACCCACTCACGAAGCTGCTGAGGCGATAAAGTATCCGGGTGAGGGAACTGTTGTTGTCTACCAACAGACGCTGCTACGGGCGTGATGGTGGCCATGACAGGCAGTGGCAGTCAGTAGCAGCGGCGCAAGGGCGTCAGAAGCGACTTCTGTAGCTATGGCTGTAGAAGTAGCAGTAGTCGTTGTAGTGGCTACAGGGCAGGGCAGCACGCGGGCTGCAGGGCGTGCAGGCAGCGCGCGGCGAGCAGGGCAGCGTACGACGGTAGCAGCTCCTGGGGCAGAACGTACGGTTCGTGGGCCCTACCGGTGCGGTCCTACGAAGGGACCTCCTCAGATTCCATGTCAAGAAAACTGTGCAAGAATGGATGAACTATGCAAGAGTGAGATATAAGCAGTAAACCCTAAATAAGGTTGTACTCTATACTGAGCACCTCACTGTAGCCAAGCAGAACTAAGAACATAACTTATTGTGATAAATTGTGTGTCAATTTCTGTTATGCGAGCATTTTGTGTTTATAGCTGCATTGATACACTCTCAGTTAGTAACTACGCCTACATCTCTTCACTGGCTCTAGGAAGTTTTACGCCGAACATACAAGGCGAGAATGATATTTGTACTAGCTTGTCTTTGATGAAGGTGGCTAACATGAAAGATGTTTCTTGAATTGCACCAGGGCTTATTTTATCTGGGTATTTTACCCTTTTTGCCTTTACCATCTTCCGCTTTTTCCGAGTTACCCCTGCCAAATCAGCCTACAAAAAAATTTACCCTAGCGTGAAAAGGCTATGGTTTCATCTACACTGTTACATGTTTTTTCACCCTAGCTGTATCAAGGTACGATGCCAACCACACTAATACTGAATATATTTTTATCGCGAATCGAGCCACACACCTGTCATATGTTGTATTTGTCTAGCCTGCAGTGGGGTACTCTATAGCGAGTACAGACCAATTTAGGGTTTCCTATATGTATCCTGCTGCTGCTAGTCCAAAGCTTTCTTTCGTGTTCTAACTTTCTGCTTAGTATTCGGACATGGTATCAGAGCAGGTCGACCCTCCCTGTCGATCCTGTGGGTGGACCCACCCTATGCTTCTGTTGTCCTGCCTATCGCGCGCCACGGGCGCGCGACGTTTTCTTCCTGCCGCGCACCCTACGCGCGTGGCGTTTTTTCTGCCTGCACGCTGCGCGCCCCGAGAGCACGCAGCGGTTTCGTCGCCCGACGTGGCGCCCCGGGGGCCCGCGCGCTGTCCTCTCCCGTCGCGTGTCGCGGCGCCCTAGGGGCCTGCGCGACGCCCCCCCCCCCCGTCTGTCAGGCATATATGCTATAGTCTGTGTAGGCTGTAGTGGGGCAGTTCATATGGGGTACAACACTTTAGGGTTTGCTACTTGTACTCCCCTTTCTGCTTAATGCATTCATTCTCGTTTCTCATCATGGTATGGAGTAGGTTCCCTAGTGGGAACGCTACCTAGGGCCCACCACGATACTTTTTTTTCTGCCCGGAGCCCGCTTCAC